TATTTATGAAGGTTTTATGTGAACCCTTTTTACCAACGTTGAATATTTTATTCTTTAATTTATTTACAAGATTTATTTAAATATGTGTTAAGTTAGTAAGGGTGTTACAGAACTCATAATATTCTGAGTTAGAAAAGCAATTACAAGTTTATGGGATGAACTTATATGATCCACCTATATTTATAGTGCAACTAGCATCATTCATATAATAAAAATTAACAATCACGATCCAATATCACAAATGAACGGCCAAGATTGAAAAAAGCGAAAGTACAACACTGTTCATGCGTGATACGATGTTGTTTACACCTTTGTGCGATATAACATTCACCACACTCATGAATCTTGCATTGTTTGCACATTAAATGAGACCATATCAACCTACAAAAATAAATATATAATATGTTTTAAAAATAAATAAAAGAACAAATATTACCAATAGATTTTATCAACACCACCACCTTATTTGAAAAAAAATATTAATTCAATAAATCTAATATAATAATTTAAAACAATAAATATAAAAAAAATTAACTTTTCTAATAAATATACATATAAAATATAAACTACAAATAAATATGTTTATTTTATATGTTTATTTTATATATTTAATTATAATATAATTTTTTAATAACATTAATTATATAAATTAAATACACTAATTTTTTCACATTATTTTCTTTAAAATTAACTTCTATCGATATAGAATAATAAATTGCATTTATGTCTACTCAAAATTTGGTATACAATACTTCAAAACAACAAAAATTATTATGTACAACATTTTGCAAATAAAGAAATATATAATAAAACAATCAGAACCACAAATATTCAATTCATAATATTTAAACTATATAAGTTATAATTTGATTTAATATTTTATTTTAAAAATTATATTTATTTTTTTGTATTATTAAATCTTAAGTTTATAAATTTAAATAGTACTTGATATGATTATGTCTATAATCATTTAAAAATTATATTACAGAAGTCTTACTCCAACTGAAAATAAAATACGTTTACAAATATGCAAATAGCGATACATCATATTACAGATGCAAAGTTTATAAGAGATTATTACTTCTTAATTTTTACGGTTTCAAATGACTTATGATTGTAAGGAATAATGATACATCATACATCTAGGCATGGCAACGAGGCGGGACAGGGGCGGGTTTCTGCTTCTGATACCTGCTAGGGATAAAATTTAGGTCCCTATCCCTGCTCCCGGCGAGGTTCGGGTTTCCCCGCCCCGCTCCTATTTTTTTCTTCTTTTTTTTTAAATAAATATGAAAAATTTTTAAAAAAATAAAAAAATGTAAAATAATATAAATTTTTATATATAAATATTTATAATTTTAGTTTATATATATATAAATAATTTTTTAATTATATTATTAAGCAGGGCGGGGACGGGGACGAGTATGGGGCGGGGCAGGGTGGATATTAACATCCCTGCCCCCGTCCCTGCCCTCGATTTTATCAATCGGGAAAAACCCGAACTCGAACCCGAACCCGATAAACACGGATTTTCTCCATCCAAATCGGGACGAGTTCGGGCGAGTACCCATGAGAATGGGTTAGATTGTCATGCCTATACATCCAAGTAAAACAAGAAAAATTAATGAGACAAATATAAATTTTTAAAACTGAATACTAAATTAAATTATAAAGAGTGAGAATATAAAACTTTTGAATAGAAAACATCAATCCTCTATACGTTTTCTGTTATCCAGTGTCACACCGACATAAATTATTTATTTTAATAAATAATTTTAAAAAAAATTATTTTTGATATTTTTATTTATTTATTATTTAGAAGATCAAAAAAATCATATATATATATATATATATAATTAGTATCATTTCATCGGAAAAACAAACTTAAAAAAGAAATATGAATGACTTTAATAGTCTTTTTTTAGTTTTTTAATGAGACTTTAATGGTCTCATCGAACGTTATTTTGAGGAATTTAATAAATAATTTAAGGTAGTGTTTGTTTCGGCTGATTTACTGTTCAAGACGAACGAAAGACGAGAAAATTGCACGTTTGTTTCTACTTATTTACGAAGAAAGAAAGGCGAAGAAAAGCGGGAGAAGGGGCGCAAGGCGTCTTCGCATTTTTGCGAAGAAAAGAGATGAAAGTTGAGAAAATCCCATAATACCCTATCCCATGCATGCAGAGGAACCAAGCATAATCGATTATGCAAGCTACATAATCAATTATGGGCTTGCATAATCGATTATGGTGGCCTATTTTCGCTTGCAGGCGAACCCAGAGCGGGTCGTTCCAAAAATCAATTTTATGAGCAATATACGAAGTCAAAACCATCCGTTTTACTTTGGGAACGGGTTCTGGGTATCAATTTTAAGCATGACAAATGACGCCAGAACGACCGTTCCGGATTCGAAACGGGCCGTTCTGGCTTAAGAAGTTGGTCAGGTATATCTAACTCCTAATAGACCTCTCATAGTTAGTTCTTATAGAAGTGGCTTGAAAATTTCATATGTTCTTCAAGCTTCCACATAGGATCCGACTAGCTTCTTGAAATTCTTTCATTTTTGTTTTGCTTAGTTCATTTGAATTGTGTAAATATCTTATTTGCTGTATCTTGATTCAACTAGTGTAGTTTAATTTTGATTGCTTTCACGAATAGTGTTGGATTAAAGAATTTTTTTTTGTGAAATTCATAAGCATAAAACTTTTGTGAAAAGAATCTGGAAGTGAGACTAACATAAAGGGGTTTAGTAATTTTCATTTAAAAATACTTGGTTATTAAGTGGCTCTTAGTAGCTGACCTCCCTTGATGATGGGAAATGGTTTATCATCTCAACAATAACAAGTTGTTCACCAGAATGCCTCAATCTAGTCTGTGGTCTTCTCTTCATCATCAAAGATTAGAAGAATGTCCCTATATTTCGGCACCAAAGAAAGGCGATAGTGAAAGGTTCCTAACTTGTTTGTGGATGACGTTGAAACCACCATAACCACCATCAAAGAGCTTGACCAATCAATGTTGCCACAACTTTCGATAGCTTCCCTGCCTCTAGTGTTCCCCTTGCTCTAAAATATTTCTCAGTGCATGGATTCCACCAATAAGCATCTTTAGCTCCATCAAACACAGAAATCTCCATTTTTTGACCTCAATTAAGTGGGGAGGAGATCAAAAAAGAAAGCACCAATGTTATGAACCCTTTTCGAGTAAGAAAGAACTCCTAAGAAATTAAGGAGGAAAGTGAATAGAAACAAAAATCTTTGATTAATTCTTCTCCCTTTTTACTAGAGCAATATAATGGTTATATAACATACTAGTGGAAACAAGAGTGCAAAAATGGATTTCTAACAAATCGTGACAAACTTATTCTAAGCATATTTTCTATATCTTATTTTTAATAAAAGAGTAAAAATATTTCTCATGGGACTTCCAATAGATGTAGAATCATAACATTAATCCCTTGACTGAGATCCATTTTAGGAGTTAATTTCTCCTAACAAATATTCTTCCATATACGTCAACGAAAGATCGAATTCCTGATTACATGTTTAATGACAAAGTTATTTATCAACCATGTTTGTTGGTGGCTTAAAGCTTTTCATACTACTACCATAGATCTTTTACCTATGTCTTTCACATCTTTTTACCTTCCTATAGTGAACCTAAAAAGGTACCAAGGGTGGATTTCACATATTTTATGGGTAAGATTCTTTTATCATACTAAACATCATTGTAAATAAAAACTATTCCTGCGGTCATGAGACATACAGTAATACATTTCAAACATCGGAGAATATTTCAAATATCAACATTTTATTTACTAAAACTCGAGAATTTATGTTCTTCTTGATGAGAACTATAAAGAATTGTCAGGTCAGAATAATGCCAAATCATGACTTTTAAATAGGAGGGAAACAATCATCACTTTCTCTACAAATTCTTCATAGCCGACCAAAAAAATCATTGTGTTCCATAAACTTTATTCAGGACCAAAATTTCTATTTTTCATTTATGGGTGCAAAACAATGCTGGTGAAATTAGTTAGAAAAGAATATGAGGCTGACTTCATTTGGGAAATCAGCAACTAAAATGACTCAATCTAAAGCATCTATGACTGCATCCACAATTTCTTGGGTGGTGCTTGTCCCTCCAAGATCCTTTGTTCGATATTTGCCCTCCAAAATGACTTGTTCCACAGCAGTTTCCAAGCGGTCAGCAAATGCAGGAAACTGAAGATGCCTAAGCATCATAGCTGATGACATAAGAAGCGCCACTGGATTGGCAGTTTTTTGTTCCAATATTTTATCATTGCCAACATTTCCTGCCGATGGGCTACTAAAAATCAAAATATTATCCAAAAATAATTTTCATAAATATTTATTATTAAAATACTAATAATTATTAAAAACCTTTAAAACATCCTATAAAACCTATTAAAATAACTATAAGAAAATAATCTCCATAAATATCAAAATAAATAATAATTAACCATTATACTAGTAGAAAATTCAGAATGTTATAGGTGCACTCCGTACGTGAAGGTAGCCAATGCGCAAATTTTCTTTCCAAGTAGGTTCCAAATTATGGAAGCCAGTTAATAATTATTGATGACTTCCATGTGAGGTCGCGGCTTCTGCTTTAAGTAAATAGTACAAGTGATAATTGATAATTGTAATTATTGAATATCGGAGAAAATATAATTTATATTAAAATATAATTTTTCTTTATATATAATTTATTTTAATTTTTAATTATATAATAATATTTTTTTTAAAAAATAAGAAAAATTATAAAAATAGTCCAAGTAAACAATAAATCCAAGTTCTCATATATCCAATCACTTAAGCTAATCCTAATAATCTATATAATAATATTTAAGTTATGCATTACATTGATTATAATATTATTAATAATAAATTAATAATAATTAAAGTAAAAATCACATGGAGCTTTCTGTCATTATATGCGACTCTGTCAAAAGCACTTAGTCATAATAACTCAATCTCATACGTAACAATTCTTGAACCTTGAAAACACAAGTTATCACTACTGAAGTTAAACCTATCTTGTTACCACCACTTGTTTCCAATGTCTCAGTCTGCTTCTGAAAACACAAGTGCGAGAACTCGCACGAGAACGAGAACAAGCTTATGGTTCTCTGCATCGTTTTACGCTCTCGTTCTCCCTGTGCTGGTGGCTGCGATTCTCTACCGGCTCGAACCCTTCCAACCGGTTCTTTTGCCGGTTCCGCTGAGCCCGTCCACCGTGGTGGTTCCCGCACGTAACAATCGCGTGCTGCGAGGGGCTGAAGCTGTGGCTCAGGGACAAGTGCAGGGTCCCGAAGACTTGGCCTATGACGCTGCGACACGTGTCATCTACACTGGATGCGAGGATGGGTGGATCAAGCGATTCACGGTGAACGACTCGGTGGCTGACTCGGTCGTTGAAAAATGGGTCAACACCGGCGGAAGACCACTTGGTATAGCTTTGAAACGGAATGGTGATCTCATCGTTGCCGACGCCCAAAAGGTATCTTTTATTATTATTAAAATTAATGACCAATATCACTTCATGATAAATATAAAAAATAATTTAATCAAAAAAAAATATAAAATAATAAAAATTTTAAAATATGATGATGAAAAAAATTTATATAATAAAAAAGTATAAAAAGGAAAATATTTCTTATTTATTTATATATATATATATATATATATATATATTAGTAGAGTGACGAATAAACAAACAAAACATATATATTTAATAATAAGTTAAATTGCACATTATTTATTATTATTGAATAGAGTGTTGTTGGTGCAATTTGATTCAATTTTTATTATTAATATTGTAAATGTAATTGTACATGTATTTATTATTATTGAATAGAGCATTGTTTTTGTAATTTGATTCAATTTTTAGCCTAAAAATCACTCTTTTTTTTTTGGTAAATGTTCCTGCGTAGAAACTCCTCTTGTCGTTCTTCCTTCTTGATCTTCTAAGTCTTCGGTGCCGACCGAATACTATCTCCGCGGGGTGGGGAGGGAACCTGCAAAGGCACTCCAACGCTCAAGTGAGTATTCGGTATAGTCCCCCACATATATATATATATATATATATATATATATATAATTATTAGAGACAGTGTCCCGACCCTCTAATAAGTATAAATATAATATAAGTAAATAAATGATTTCGTGTTTATATAAAGATAATACAGATAAATAAATAATTTCATGTTTTCAAAGGTAAAGATATTTCCTCAAAGAAATAGCCAAGAATAAAATGAAGTTGGATACACCATACGCTATGAATGAATTAGAAATTGTAATTTATTTTTAGATTTTAAGATAATTATTATCAAAATTAATAAGTATAGTATGCATAGATTGTCATCAGATCCGATGTGATATCTTTTCCTTTTTTTCTTCATATTGTCTTTTGCTACATCTACTATTTCTTTTCCATATAAAGAAAGCTATTTACTCAAAAAGATATCGAAAGGGCACCCGTTCTCTGTTTTGAATAGTTTATCTTTATGCTATGGTCAAAATGAACATGTAAATACTGTTACAAATATATAGTTGATTTCTTTTCTGTTATATTATTTTTTTAATATTAAAAATTAGAGTACATATAATTTAAAAGTAGAATCTTTATCACTCTTATATTAATTTACGAGACTATTTTTAGAAATTTTTTTAATAAAAATATTTTAGAACTGTTCTTTAGTTAAAGAGTTTTTAAAGATTTTATCTTATTTAATTTTATTTATTATATTTATTTATAAATTATTTTAATATTTTTAAATTAAATTATTAATAATTAAAAATAATTCTATTCCACAATATAAATTATTTATTATAAATTATCCCTTATAAATTAAGCAGAAATTTTTATCACAAAGTATTTTTAAGATTTTTTTAATTTTTTATCTAATTCAATTTTATTTATCATATTTATTTATGAATTAAATTTTATATATTAAAATAAATTATTAATAAATAAAAATAATATTGTAATACGATATAAATTATTTCTCATAAGTTTATAATATAATTTATATATTCGATCATAATATCTATTTGTATATATAATTTATTATAAATTTTAATTATATAATAAATATTTAACATATGCAAGCTTAAAATACATAAATATAATTCATAAATTTAAAATATTTATTCATGTAATTTTTAATATATTATTTATTTATTTCTGAAATTTATTATAAATTTAAATTATATATAATAAAAAAATTTATGTACACTACACAGAATAAAATGTTAATTATTTTTTAAATGTATTTCACATACTATCGTGGAAATTAATAAAAAAAATCATTTTGCAACCATTCTAAACTGCTTTTTATTTATTTATTTATATATTTATATATGTACTTCATCATCTTAATTGTATATGGTTATCGATTTATCATCTTTTATTTCTCTTGTAAGTTGAATTTAAATGATTTTTTAAATAAGTTGAAAATGACTCAATATCACAATTTAAATTATTTGATATAAATATAAAATATAATTTATATTTATATATTAATTCTTATATATTAGATACAAACAACTTCTTGTGCAAATGTATTTTTAAGAATTTTTTAATTTTTTATTTAATTTGATTTTTATTTATCATAATTATTAATAAATTAAATATTAATATCTTTAAAAAATTAATTAATAAATAAAAATGATCTCATATTACAATATAAATTATTTATCATAAATATAAAATATAATTTTATATGTTTAAAAATATTGATTTATATAAATTTTAAGTATAATTTATATTTTTAAATATAATATTTATTTGTATAAATAATTTATTATAAATTTTAATTATATACAATAAAAATTTAGCATCTGTATAAAATACTAGTTGATGCACAAAGAAAACTAATTTAATAAGTAAGTTGTTATAAGCCTATGAGGTTTTTTTTTTTTTTCTTTTTGGGTAAAGTCCTAGTAAATATTACAAGTTTGATTGTTTTTTGCTTAAAGATAAAAACACTATTTTTTATATAGATTAGTATAATTTAATTGTTCTTTGATTTAAGTAATTTTTATTTTTATTTTTTACTTTTTTGTACTTCATGGTTTGTGAGCACTGAGTTATCGAATTAATTATGCAGGGACTACTGAGAGTGACGAGTGAAAAGGAGGTTGAGCTGTTGGTCGATGAGTTTGAAGGATTAAAATTCAAATTAACAGATGAAGTTGACATAGGAGATGATGGTACCATTTATTTCACGGATGCATCACACAAATACTCTCTGAAAGATGCTCTCTTAGACATCTTAGAAGGCAAGCCTAATGGCAGATTATTGAGCTATAATCCAGCAACAAAGAAAACAACCCTACTTGTCCAAAATCTCTACTTTGCCAATGGGGTTGCCGTCTCACCAGATCAACAATTTGTGGTCTTCTGTGAATCTGTTCTGTAAGTTATTTTCTTACCTAAAGTACCTATGAATTTAATAGGCTTAATTGGTTTTGGTCCCTGTAATTTCTACGATTATGCAATTTAGGTTCCATCAACATTCATTCTAGAATTTTATCATACATTAAATAGGGGAAAATTGTATTACTTAATCTTACATCTAAATCAGTGGCGGCTGTAGTATGGACCAGAAGAACCACTCTGTCTAAGATCTCATTTTTTTTTATGAGCACCCACTTCTTAGATGTCATGAGTTTCTATGTGACGTATCATAGGTTCACCATTATTAAACCTTTTTCTAATATACCATGTTCTCTAAGAATAGTAATCTCTAAGAATAGCTTGTAATGATCCAATAGGTCCCCACACTTTGATGTTTAGCCACTAGCAATGAGAAACATAAATATCATTACTAAGATTTACATGCAAGTAATTCTTGGATATATGCAACAATATATATATATAAAAGAAAATAATTTATTGAAATCATAAAAGTTCCTCAATGGAATTGAAACTATAACATAGATCATGTACAAATATATATAACTACAACAAAATCCAACTGGAAGCATAAAATCCTAGTTGTTAGTCAAACAACATCTATATTCCTTCTCTAGTGTATCCCTACCCTACTCTCATATAAATATGGTCATCTCAGTTCAACCACAAGAAATTATGTAAGGTTAAGTTAGTATTAAAAAATAATCAACAGTATAGAAGAATAAACTAATATATCACAACTAAAATGACTCAATTTTGAACAACCACTTAAAGTTATAACTTAGCAAACATCAACACAACTACACAATTTCTCATCATACAATACACTTATACAATTCATCAACATCTCAACATGGTATATGAATAATGCAACATATCAACACATCATATGTACAATACAACAACTACATGCATCATCACACATTCAACTAAGATATCTTATAACACAGATGAACAATCATGACTTAATCATCATCAACATAATCATTTCCAACACTACGCAACATACAACATCTCTACATTTCAACTTTCATTCGTCTTACAACTTTAAACAACTTATATAACCACATATATCATTCTAGCTCCATATACAAGACATTAGAATCATATAGCAACATACAACATGTGAGGGATTTGTGACACCCTCTACTCAACATACATATACAGTAATTATAAATAAAATAAAATTCTTCATCATAAAATAATCAAATATCCAACCACATAAGGGTAAAGAGCTCACATTCATAAACTTAATCCAAATAACATGTCAGTGAAATTACAAAGAAATAAAGCTGAGTTTTCTAAAATAATTTAATAAAAACATCCTAATCTAATCTTATTTATGCCCCGATGTCACATATCCTATCAGAGCAAAACCCAACATAGAAGCCTAAGCTTCATCACCAACATCCTCAGCCTCACATTGATGATCACTTGTATAATAATCAAAGAAAAACAACACAAGAGAAAAGGGAGTGAGAAACATCTCACTCTGGCTCATAGTGTAGAAATATACGCCGGATAGCCAAACACAAATAAAATAGGTATAACATAGATAAATTAATAATAACATCACATCTCACTCATCCAAGACGTAAACCATCACGTTATCATATAATGTTAAAAATACATAAGTATGGACACAGACTACATATTATCATGCATGTGACCCCAGTAACATATCACATGGCATATTGCTACTAGCAATGCACGAAGAGTAATCTAGGAGTACATGCCTAGTCACACCCTCTACGCACTCTCACTAGAAGGACATACTACTAGGGTCTCGTCGGGATAGCTAAGCTGCGCAAGATACATCTCATGCACACAATGAGCGAGACTGAGACTTACAAATCGAGCTATCCCTAAGGACTAATCCCCAAAGCTTTTACACTAGGGGTCTTCCCTGGCGGTGTATTCCATATCGTACCCTTAAAAACATTTATGCACATGATGCATGTCAATCAAGACTTGCTTTTCTCATATCACATTTTCATGTCTCATTCTCATATAACATTATCACATCTCATTGTCATATCACATTATCACATTATCACATTATCGCATTATCACATCTCATTGTCATATCACATTATCACATCACATTCACAATTTTCACAAAGCACTTTAATTCATATCAAAATTCATCTATTTGCGAAATTAAACACATATTCATACATCTCATACAACAAGGAATACAACAGAACAATTAAAAAGAAAAATAGAAAATATTCATATTTTGCCTGTTTCTCATAGGGTTCTTTCAAGAACCCACAGAGCACTCTAATTCATACAATAAACATCTTACTCATATAATTGCCTCTTACAATTACAAATACATTCCCTTAGGGTTTCCCATAGGAACCCATAGAGATCTTAAAATTATATATTTATATTTAAATATAGGAAAAACAATAGAAGGAACATATATAATTAGGAAAAATTCCTCATACATGAGCATACAACAAACAACAAACATAGGATTGAGGGCCAATCCTACTACCCAACATACATTCCCATACCCAGAGCAAGATTTCTCACTCCCCCCTTACCTCGATAAGAAGGAGCTGAAACTAAAACCGGATCTTGCTAGTCTCCTCCTCTAGGTTCCCCTATGGTCTTTAGAGAGTATAGAAGAAAAATATGTCAAAAGTGAAAAATGTGCTTTTGGAGTGCAAGAGCGTGCTATTTATAGGCATCAGATGTGGCCAGAACAGTCCGTTTCAAATTCAGAATGACCCATTCTAGAATCATTCGTTATGCATAAAATTCATATCCAGAAAGGTCCGTTCTCAAACTAGAATGGTCTGTTCTGGGATTACAATTTAACCCACAACGACCATTATTGGAACGACCCATTCCCAAAGTGGAACGGCCCGTTCTGGGTTCGCATATTGCTCATAACATCATGTGTTGGAACGACCCGTTTCAATATAGTCTTTTTAGGTCATTTTAGTAGTCTGGAACGGCCCGTTCTAGTTTGAGAACGACCCGTTTTGGGCTACTAAAAATCAAAGTATTACAAAATAATTTTTTTTTATAAATATTTATTATTAAAATACTCATAATTATTAAAAACATCTAAAATATTCTATAAAACTCATTAAAATAACTATTAGAAAATAATCTCCATAAATATAAAAATAAATAATAGTTAACCATTATGCTAGTAGAAAATTCGGGATGTTACAAGATCCAATTATCACATATACTCAACACTTAGCCAATTGAACAACACATTTTCAATTGGTAACCCACGCTCGTCGCCATTCGTTCCATGCCCAATGTCATTAAGGCATAAAGCCTCTAGCTCGCCCACACTTGGTACCAAACCACCAACACTCGGCATGAATGTGGTAGAAAGCCTCTGTGGCAATCATGACTAGTGTAGCAAAACTTATGCCCGACCCCATTTCAAGCAAAGATCCTTTGTTTAATCCATGCCCGATGTCACTACATTGGCACCTAACATCATTTAGGCAGAGAACTTCTATGTTGGTCATGTTTGGCGCCACTCAACTAAGGCCTGACATCACCAAGTTAGAGAGCTCCAAGGGAATCCACATCCAACGCCATTCAATCCATGCTCGACATGACCAAGTTAGAGAGATTTCTTCTAACTCAAGCTTGGCGCTACTAATTCCATGCCCAATGAGAGTGAAGCAGAGAGCCACTGACCTACATAACATTTGACATCTTGGTGTTGCACTTGATGTGATGGTTATTTTTACACTTGGCAAAAGCATGATATGGCTCTCCACACCTTAAACTCGAGGAAATCCAACATTCAATCCTAGAAAACACAACTATACAACATAATCAACTAGTTTCCAACTAGAATAACATGCAACCAAAATATGACAAAAATCACGAAATTCTTCTCAACATGTTCAAGAAACAATTCAAACACAAAACATAAGATTTTCACCTCTTAATCAACAACACAACCATAAATTTTGATGAACTCAAGCACCATACAATCCATGCATTACAACAAGAATCAAATATAAAAGCTTCTCTTACCTCTTATAATCAAATTAGAAAGAAAAGGAAGAGAAGATGAAGTCTCACAACCAACTCTACATAACAACTATGACTCTTTGATTCTCAACTCTGAATCACACCAATAGCCACAAAATCCACTTTCAGGAAGGGAGGGAAAAAATTAGTGGGGTCAAAAGAGAAAAATAGTTGTCCTTGAGTTTGAAAATTCCTTTCTCTAAGTTTTTTGAGTTTCAAAATTCCTTTCTCTAAGTTTTCTAAAGAAATATACTTATAAAATTTAAGTCTTAAATTAAATCTTACATACCATCATCAGACTAGTTAACTTAACCTTTGCTCAAAGTAATCTCTAAACAACTGAAAACTCTTAAGAATTCCTAAGTTCTTAGAGTTTTTTAATAATTAAATAGTAAACTACAACATATAATTTAATAAAATAATAATATTTTACAAAATATATAGTGTTATATAACACATAATCTCATAGAAATATATATATATATAGAGATAGATAGATAGAAAAAATATATGTTAAAATTGTTTGTTGTTAAGTTATTTACACCTTTGGATTTAAAATTTGGAGTTGTATAATTTTGGAATATTTATATGAGTATCATTTTTCTGTTTGCCCAAGAAAAAAAGAAAAACTCAAGACCGAAAAATAATAACCAAATTTGTTGCCAATAGCCACATTTTAGTTAATTGGTCGTACGATGTAGAAGTAATTGATAATGTAGGTGGAAACTGGAAACAATATTTGACATATCGGAATATTTAAAAATTATATAAAGTTCGTATTAGAGCTTCTGTGAGTTTTTTCATCTGTATTGCACATATCACATTTGCTCATGGACTCATGGTTGAAATAGTTTCATAGAGAAAAGAATACTTTTTTTTGACATGTGTTAAGTTTGTCAATTAAGAGATTATTGATATCGTCAATTTTTGTTTCAATTTGGATGTCAAATTTTAACATTTAACGAAAATTAAGGACTAAAATTACACAAACACCAAAGGGGGTATCACGACTGCATTTAGGTCAATTTCATATATACTGGCACTTATTTACCATCTCTGTCAAAGTGTATAAAATAAGGGCACTTATTTATAACTTGATTCCTTATTTCGAATGTACTATTTCTGCAGAATGAGATGCAATAAATATCACTTACAGGGCCCTAAAAAAGGAACCATAGAGAAGTTCTGTGACGTACCTGGCATGCCTGACAACATTCATTATGATGATGGACAACGACAGTATTTGATCGCAATATTCACGGTAATGTAACCAAATTCATCTGTCACAAAAAAGATAAAAAAAACATAGCAGCACATGCTTTTATTCACCTTAGGAAAATACTAGATCCTCCGAATATATATTTCGAATTATCTTCCGATTAATAAAATTTATATTTTATAATTTAAAAATTATAAACGCCAATGACAAATAATTAAGAAAATAATTCAGAAGAATTTTCGATTAAAATTTTGAAGGATATCATTGCACTTCACCTTAATATCAGTTAGTTGATCATTAAAAGACCTTCAGTTAGTTAGCCGGCAACTATCATTGAAGTATTCAACTATGTATTGAAAAAGGAAAATATTATCATTTAAGTATTATATAAATCTTTATCATTAATTATATCTCTCTTTAAAATAAATGAAATGATAAAGAAATAGAGTTAAAAGTAATATTATATAATTTATAACTAAATTTAGATTTAGTTCTTTATTCTTTCTAATTATATAGTTTCAAAAATAAGTTTATTTTGGAAGTTTTTTTTTTTATCATGTTGAAATTAGTTAAATGATATGTTTTGGTGGTAGCAATGCCGTAATAGTAGAAAAAGTTGTGGTTAAATGTGACTTTTAAATTAAACTAAATTCGCAATAATAATAATAATTATTATTTTAAAAATAAATAAAAAGAAATTCGGGATCGAGTAAAAGTACATTTAAGCTCTCTCTATTTTTTTTTTATACACATAAGCTCTATATTAATCAAACATTTTTTTTTTTAAATTGCATTAGATTTAAGCTCTATATTAATCAAAGACGTTTTGTTTTTAAAATTAATTTTCAGAATCAAAATCTAAAAACTCGCAACTGTTCCAAAGTGCCCTTAAGGAATACGAATTGTCACATTACACAATTTTTCTCCAAAAGAAAAAATTATGTCTTGTTTGCTCACATGTTTTTGTGCAATACTTGCAGGCCCTTGCTCCTGAATTGGATATAGCATATAGATACCCTTTCATTAGGAAGGCCGTAGCAATTGTGATGAAGTATGTACTGAATCTATCTTTCTCGAAGAATGGAGGAGTTCTGGTCGTGGATTTAGAAGGAAAACCAACTGCACATTATTATGATCTCAAATTAGGATTGACTAGTGCAGTTAAAATCGGGAATCATATATATGGTGGTTCCATTTTATACCCTTTTGTAACACGTCTTGATATTGAGAAGTACCCTGCTCTCCCCACAGTTTAAACGACAAAGAACATCTTCTAAGGTTTTGATGTACAAGCAGATTTTTAGTTTCCTTAGTGTCATGTTGGTGCCATAAAAAAGGACTCATCTGAAAATTCCATTCATCTGTTATATATTTTGTTATAATAAAAATGGAATTTCTTGTAGAACTTGTTTCCAATTTTTTATTCTCTTTACTAATTTGAGCAACCAACTACAATGTATTACACTCTTGGGGTTACGAATTGCTGCCCAAAGCCTTGGCTATTTCCCTTAGAACATACTTCTGTATCTTCCCTGTTGAAGTTTTTGGCATATCTTGAAAAATGACTGTTTTAGGAGCCATGTAATGGGGCAAATGGTCCCTGCAAAAGTTTATTATTTCTTGAGAATCTACATCAAACCCTTCTTTCAACTTGACAAAAGCACAAGGTGTTTGACCCCAATGATCATCAGGCCTGGCAACAACTGCAGCTTCAAGAACAGCTGGGTGGCTATACAAAACTGTTTCTACTTCAACTGAGCTAATATTCTCTCCCCCTGAGATGATTATGTCCTTCAATCTGTCCTTAACTTCTATGTAACCATCAGAGTGTTTCACAGCTAGATCCCCAGTATGAAACCACCCCTCTTTGAAAGCTTCTTCTGTTGCTTTTAAGTCTCTAAAATATCCACTCATCACTGTGTTCCCTCTAAACATTACCTCCCCAATTGTTTTGCCATCAGATGGAACACTTTCCATTGTGGCAGGATCTTTCACATCAATTCCCTCCAAACCCACATGGGATACACCCTGCCTGGCTTTCATCTTTGATCTCTCTTCATGGGGCAAAAAGTCCCACTCAGGTCTCCATGCACAGAAAGTGCCTGGACCATATGTTTCTGTGAGGCCATACAGGTGAGAGATGCTAAAGCCAAACTCCTCCATCTTGGAAATGATCTGCGGCGGCGGCGGTGAACCGCCGGTCATCACCAACACCTTGTGATCGATCGGCTTCCGATCCGCCGCCGCAGAGTTCACAATCATGTTCAGCACTGTTGGTGCTCCTGCCATGTGTGTCACCTTATGCTGAGCTATATTGTCAAAAATGGTCTTTGGAGAGACCTTCCTAACACAAACATTGATCCCAAATTGTGATGCCACTCCCCAAGGGAGGCACCAACCGTTGCAGTGGAACATTGGAACATTCCAAAGATAAACAGGAAATAGGTCCATTCTAAAGAGTAGAACTGTTGCTAGAGTGTTCAGATAAGCACCCCTGTGACTGTAGACAACTCCTTTAGGCCTAGATGTGGTGCCAGAAGTGTAATTTATACTTATAGGATCCCATTCACTGTGGGGCCTCACTATGTCAAAACCATTGTGCCCATCAGCCAGAAGTCTCTCATACTCGTAACTAATTGATCTAATGTCAATGGTAGATGGGCAATCAGAGTCCGTAACTAGAACTAAAATTGGCAATTCTCTAGCCTCTTTTCGTAGCAGGTCCAATGCTTCCTGTGCAATTTGAAGTAGTTGGTAGTCTACAAAAACGACCTTTGCTTGTGAATGCTCCAGAAGGACTGAAACCATAGCTGCATCTAGGCGTGAGTTGAGGGTGCAAAGAATGGCTCCAGCCATTGGGACAGCAAAATGTAACTCATACATTGCAGGGACATTAGGGGATAGAGTGGCAACCTGTGTAGAAACAACATGGAATAGCATCAGTGATTCATTTAGCTTAGAAAGTCCCAAGATGCTTTCATCAATGCAGATTAGAATTGTTAAAATTAGAAGTGCAGGACATTTAGTAGTAAGTATTAGAAATATTATTGTATACGAATTATTAGAGTTATTAGTTTTTATTCTCTATATAAAGACTTGATGTAACCCTATTGTACACACATTCATCTTTTCAATACATTGCATTTTCAGTTTATCTTATTTTTCTCTTCTTTCTCTCCTTTGCACCATGTATTCAAACACAGTGTCACAGCAATACCATCCATCCTAGAAATTTGTTCCGCTGCTTCTTTCATATTTTCCCCTCTTTTTCCTCTTTCTATTTGTTCATTTTCTCAAGAAAATATCCATGGAAGATACATTCAACTCCTTTCTCTGTTTTAGTTTTTTCCCCCCAAGATTTCATCTACATTTCAAATTGAATTTGACTCATTCGAAAACTTTTTCTTTGTTCTCGAAATTTTCTTTTTCTAGAATAATCCTTAACATGAGACAAGTGTATTGTGTTGGCTATGGATATTGAAAATATGAATTCATCTAAACTATATTAAAAATCCTATATCGACTAATAAGATAATCATATTAATATATATAAATAAAAAATAATTCTTACCTTAAAAATTAATTGTTTAATAAGATTGAATTAGCCTCCATTATCCATCCATTTGTTAAGAACATGTAAGCATTGCGGTGCAGATGAAAGATCAAGTAACCTCAAGAAACAGGTGATATCTAAAAGCAACAACTAAAACATGAAGAAAAATCTATAGATAGTAACTTCAAAGAAAAATTGCTTCGATTTTTAATTCTAATTTAGTACGAGAGACTCAGTTAGTTCTGATGTTAATTAGATCATCCGCATATTTTAATTAGATGAAGCAGCACACCTTAAGCAAGCCTAAGTCTCCAACTTCCAACAACACCATTCTCAAACAAATCTGACTTTTCAGTTCAAAACTGCCAGCTATTCAATCAAATTACCACCTGTTGGGGTCACTCGAATAAAAGATTCACAGAACCTACTCAAAAAAAGCAAACAAATTTGGCACCAACGGGATACCTACCGTATGAACGAATCAGGATGGGTTATAGGCATAGGTATTCGGGGTTGGCTCGAAATGATAAAACGGAGAGAGGTTATTGGAGGTTGCTTGGGTAGATGAAGCGGTTATGACATAGAAGTTACTACGTCAGTTGTCGAAGGGATAAAATCACGTGGGACAGGTGGTTACGAGGAGTTATACTTAAAGCCAAGCGGCCAAGCGGTTTACGTAATGGACAGCGGTTATGCGTCCACGAACCCACAAAAAATTAACCACTCTCGATTATCTCTATAAATAGAAGAAGCAATCTTATGTACGTGGTCAGAAAAAATCATACTTGCACTCTCATAAGTACTCATCGACTGCGCATATGGCTTCCGTGCATAGGATTGTTGGGTATGACAACTTCTTGGCCATATTTTCTTTCTTTTTCTAGGATTAGTTTACTTTCCTTTAATTCCGTAGTTCATAGTTTATAGTTTATTATTTTTAAAAATCATTATATTGTAACTTGACAATTATGTGAACTGGATAATGATTTGTATTGTCAATATATATGTTGTTCATTCAATGTATTTGAATATTTACATGCATGAGAACTGTTTTATGATAACTATTGATGAATATCTAGAAATTGATGTATGTTGATTTTAGTTATTTAGCTTAGTTGTCACGTTAAACATTTGTTACCACACTAAGCATTTTGACAGATTAAAATTTCATATACCTAAATTGAAAAGAGGACACTTTTGCCAGTTTAAATAAAAAGAACTCATAAACAAACTTTCCCGGCAAACACCACCTTAGTTAAACCAATCATCACCACACCACCTAATTATGACAATAAATTTGCATTATAATATCAAAAATTAATTTTCTCGATTACAATTTTACTTTATCCTTACTCACTAGATTATCCAATTCAAGGGGTCCATGCATAGAATCAATAAATCAAAGGGAAAGTTACTTAAGTAGGCTGCATGAATAATTATAATTTTTTTGAGAAACATGCACACTAACTCACATCATCACAGGGAATGACAGAATAGAACTCACCACATCCCCACGTGAAATTCCCAACTGGGTCAAGGCAGAAGCAAGTTTAAGACAACGTTGGTGGGTTTGACCCCAATTATACTCCAAAGAACCATACACAAGCGATGTTCGGTCTCTGCAAACCTTGGCTGCTCTCTCTAGGAAGATCATAGGAGACAGAGGAACACAATTGGCAGAGCAACGAAGAAGACCCTCCATTGATTCCCACGAACCCGGATCATGGTCCTTGGAAAAGTTACTAACTTTGCGTAAATGATGATGGGATGAGTAAATGCGAGTTGATCTGAGAAGCCTTAGAGAACGTGTCCAGAACATGGTTTTGAAACTGTTTTTCTTGGTAAGAAATGACCCAATGGTCGGTTCATTTAATGGATTAGAATTCCAACTCATTATGGGGAGACTAAAATGATATATAACGGATATACAAAACAAATTTTAAGTTGCGTAGTCATAGTAGATAATGCTTTTTTATTTATAGATGCGGGTGAGGAACGATTCTTATTTGTTTGGACACTATATAGGGTGCTTCCAAAAGCATCAATTTAAGTTTCAGATCAATGGAGTAAGTGGGGTCATCGATCAAGACATTTATTATTTAGAAAATTAACCTCATCCAATGGGTACTTAAAGGTATGAGATAAATTAAAATTTGGTCCCATTCCAAGAAATAAATTACATTTTATATTCTAAATTACAATCAAACTTTGAAAAATAATTAAGTATTAATATCTATCTTTATTATAAAAGGGTATCCTGTTTTCATGTAATAATTTTTAAAATTATTTTATCTTTAGATTTTTAATAATAAAAATAATATTAAAAATTAACTAAACTTAAGACCTTGGGATTTAAAGACTAAATACAATATTAATTAATTTAATAAATATTAGTAATTTTTAAGCATTTTTAAATAATTTTAATGAATCATTAATTTAAGTGGAGATGAATTTAATCTCTTAAATAAGATCTTGAATTTGAAATTTATAAATAAAATAATAATAATAATTAAGAGGAGAGGTTTCACTAGGTAACCATTTTTTTTTTTACAAAGATGAGTATAATACACACCATGACAAATACACTTCTAAAATATACATACACTTCTTATTTTCTATTTGTTAGTTTAGATTTGAACAAAGTCGATAAATTTTAACTTATAATTCATTTAACTCGCTATCACGTTATTGTACTAAATTTTGTCATGTCAACTTGATAATTTATGTGTTACTTTTTTACACATTTTTTCTTATTTTAATTTTGTCACTTTTAATAAAATTTTATCTAATAAAAAAAGTTACACCTTTTTATTAAATTAAAAAAAATCCCTAATAGACTCGTGCGACATTACTACCAAATAGACTCACGTCACCATACTCAAGCAAGCCTTTGGCAAAAGTTAACAAGTCGCAATTCATGGGTTTGAGAACCTTCAAGCTCCCAAACAAGAAGAAGCACGAGGGAGATTACTTATCCTTTCTCACTTCTACATGTTCACGTCTCCACTTCTATTCCTTTTCCGCAATAGTTCTCGTGACAATTATTCATTTAAGACACATGCATCATATAGTTGGTTTTTCTTTTTTTTGTTTATCTTAAAATAAGTCTTCTTTGCTTGCAAATTATATGATGGTATTCTTTCTTTACTCTCATCTTTCTGTTGCTATTTTCATTAAGCAAGTTTCTCATTGAACATTACAATTCTCACGAAAATTATTTATTTAGATCAGATGAAGATGAATGGTATTCATTCTTTGCTCTTCTCTATAAAAAAAATGTTTTATTTGCTTAATTTTACTGTAAAAATGTTTGATAAAATTAACTTATAAATTAATTAAAAATTTATAAGTTAAAACTGAGAGGTAAAAAGTTATAAGTTTATATGTAAAATGATATTAAATGATTTTTATTATGAGAATGAGAAAATGATATGATAGGAAAAATATTTTTGAATTAGAAAGATCAATAAAGGATTTCAAATAAATTAATAAAAATATTAAAGGGAAAAAGAAAAAGAAAAACTAAAGACTTATAAGTTATAAATTACTTCAAGTAATTTATAAGTTAATTTTATAAAACATATCAATATAAAAATAATCTATAAGCTCAAAAAAAAAAAAGTTTATATAAACCTGTATCAAATAAGTTTATTTTCGTCAAATTAACTTATAAGTTATTGAAAAAAACTCATAAACTCTTAAAATGTCTTACTAAATACACACTATATTATATTTCTTATATCTTCACCACTCTCTTGAATATTCTAAAATACCAACAAGTATAAAATATATATTTTAATTATTTTAAAACATTTTGATGAACATGCAACAATAATTTTCACAATGAATTTTCATAAATTTTCTAAACAAACTACATCTTGGAAAGAAAAATGAAAATGTTCTTATTACTTAATTTGTAAGTTTAAATATATTTTTAGTCCTTATAAAATGGATGATTTTGATTTTTTTCATTATAAATTTTTTTCTTTATTTTTTTTATCTTTCTAAAATTTATAAAGATTATTTTCAGTACTTGTAAAATAAGTAAATTTTGATTTTAAAATTCTTATAAAATATTTTTCTTTGATTTTCATTCCTCTAAAATATAAATTCACTATTTCTAATCCTTACTTATCATTTTACGATAAATAAATAATATCTTTTAAAAATATATAATTTTTTTAGAAGTGTTAAATATCAATATGATATTAATAACTCTTATAGGTATTAGGTAACACTTAGATAATTATTTATTCTTTTAAAAAAAATAATTACATAAAAAAGTAAGTAATAAAAATAAAAATCTCAATTTTATAAGGATGAAAAACAAAGAAAACATTTTACAAGAATCAAAATTAAAAATTACTAATTTTATGAAAATTATAAACATATTTATGCTTTACTTTGTAACTCACATACTATATTATATCTTTTACATTTTGGATTTATGTTATCATTTATTTTAATCTCACGAACATTCTAAAGTACAATTATTAATATATTTATGTTTTTTTACAAAGAATAAAAAAAATGTTAAAAGTATAAGAAAATTCTGACCAAGATATTTTTACAGATAAATTATGACAGAAAAAAATTATCTTTTAAAATTTATTTAACCAACAATTATTCTTTTTATATCAATTTTTATTGTACATAATTAAATCTATAATTTATAATTATACATATCAATTCATATTATACATATATATATATATATATATATGTGTGTGTGTGTGTGTGTGTGTTTATTTTTAAAAAATATCAATTCATATGGTTTATATTATTATAGTTTAAGTGATTTTATACAAATTTGTGCTACTTATTTTTTTTATTTTAATTAAGCTCATTTATTATAATTTATGTGTAATTATGTGAATTATAATTTATATAAAAATTCATTTTTTATTCATGGAATTTGAACAAAGATATCAATAAAAATTTAGAAGAGATAAAAAAAAACATAATACTATTAATCTTATTATTTTTATTCTTTTAATTTTTACAATTTCATTTCTATAATATTAAACAAATTGTACAACTTGACACTTTCGTATAATCTAAATAAAGAGAGAGAGAAAAAAAATTGTTATTCTATTCAGAAGACAATTGTAATTTATATATATTAAAAAAGATATTTAGATTTTTATCACAAAAATATATTTTATAAAAATTTATTATATTTTTCATTACGTAAATATTATAAAATATTTTATTTTCTCCGCTGAATATATTTTCGTCCCTGTATCATTGTAAATAAACATTTTACAAAAAATTGCATTAATATGAGAGTCATAATGTAATTAATAGAGAGTCATAATGAAATTAATATGATATGTTAGGTTAGAAATGATTTAAATCTGCATTTAATTAATCGTTATATAGATCCTACATTTAAAAATCATAATACTAACATTAATTTTGTATTGAATTTACATTAATATGGTATTAATGCAGTTTTTTATTTATAACAAATTAGTAAATAAAATTACATTACAGTCATCTAAGAACCAAGAACTAAATTAGGGGTTATATTGGATTAGAATTTTAAAGGATTTTTTTAGTTGAAAAAAGTCCTATGTATTTTAAAAGACTTTGCAAGATTTTCATGACTTTTAAGATTTTGTAAGATTTCACAAG